GAGGAAGATGGGCACAGATGTTAGCCCAGGGCCGTCTTCCTCAGCAAAAAAAGAGGAGGATTGGCGGATGTTAGCACAGGGCTGATCTCACAAAAAAAAAATAAATAAATAAATAAATAAATAAATAACAAGAAAAGGCTGGTGACACATCCTTTCTGAGCGGTTTTCTAAATGAGGGATTTGAAATGGTGCCACTACAGCTCAGATGTCCACTGGGGGAGGAAGGCAGCGTCTGCAGACATGGTGAGCGGTGAGGACACAGTGCGGCTGAGAGCCCCGGTTGCGGGGTGGGTCCCTTCGCACACCGCTGCCACCGTCAGAGGCTCCTGGGCATGCCCAGCTTCTCCGCCGGGGAGACAGAGACTGAGGGAGGCAGGGCAGATGTGGAAAGAATCCGCAGACTCTGAGTTAGGAAAGGAGGAGGAAGGTGGGAGCACAGGAGGGACCAAGGCACACGGGGGCAGGGGACACATCACTGGAACCAAATGCAGGGTGGGCACGAGTCGTGGGACTCTCACCAAAGCCTAGAAAACCACATCTGCTCCAGGCCACACACCCGGATTTGGGCTTTAGGGTTTGGTCTCTTGCTGACCCCACAGATGCTCTGGTCTCCAGGGGCTGCAGCAGAGCTGGCTGCTGCTGCTGACCCTCTCTAACCACAGGCCACCTGACCCGGAGCAGAGAGAAGGAGGGCAATGCCTCTCCTCGAAGAGCCACATGCTCTCTGTGGCTACGCACACGCTCCTTAGTTAGAAACCCCAGGCACTTCCTGATCCTGCTAGGTAAATGTTAAGGCCACTGGGAGGGTGCAATCCTTGACTAGGAAAAAGGGGTGTGGGCAGATGGACACTCAGGCACCCTCGTTTCTGTCTTTTTGGATGAGATGTCCTGGGGAGGCACCTCTTCCCTCCCAGCTACCTTCAGGGCCAGGGTCAGCTTCTCTCGGAGGCTGGCTTCCTTGGCCTGCAGGCGCTCCAGGTCCTTCTCCAGTGCCACCCTCTGCCTGCAGGCCTGCTCCCAGAACAGCTCGCGCTCCATTTCCACCTCAGACCGCAGGAGGCTCAGCCTTCCCCTGTACCCTTGCTCCAGGTGTCTGTAAGGCACACACAACACACGACAAGTCGGGCTCCCAAGGGGCACCGCCCAAGCACATGCGAGCCCCTGTCTCTCTGGGGACACCTTCTCAGGCCACTCGGCCTCTTCCTTCCCTGGAATCTCCCTGCCTGTAGCACTTGGCCACATGGTCTGGGACTCAATTGTCCTTGCTTGACAGATGGGGTCACCGTTCCTCAGCTACACTGCATGTGCTGTGAGGGCAGGGCTGGGGGGAGATCCTTGGATGCCCCTCTGCCTCTCCACCTCCTTTCACACCACAACAGCCATCAAATGCCTTTGCTAACCAAACGTGCACAAGAGTACGCCTCTCTCACCCAGGATACAGGCAATGTCAGACTGTGGACAATGATCCCAAAGCAGTCAGAGGACAAGGAGGGGTATTTCCCCCTCAGATTCTACATTAATCTTCTGCAACAACCGTTTCCCCCAGCAGGAAAAACAGTGCCAAATCTTAGTTTTATCACTGAAACAGCTGCTTAACAGGATTTCTCAAACCAAATCCATCTAGACTGGAGATGAGCGAAATTCTCACTTCAGCAGAGGGCTTGGCCACATGAGTACTTCAGTATAAGAAGAGAGCAGTGGGGCTCATCCTCCGGCCAACAGTCTAGACTTCAATCTCATCTCAGAGCTTTAGAGGAAGAATACCCAGAAGGGAAGGAGATGGAGGAAGGGCAGCTGTTACTTAGGGAAAACAGTATCAGCGAAATTAATTTAACACTCCACAAACCTTTGGAGTAGTCTGAAAAAATACATATTTGATCATATCACTCCACTCTAAAAACTTTTGAAATATTCAACAAAACGGAAACAGTTAAATAAAATATGGCAGACGCACATAATGGGATGCTCTGGGCCATCAGAAAAGAATATACGGTACAAAACTATTTTGTAAATAATTATATACATGGAAAGAAGTGAAGGAGACATAAAAAAGGTTAGGAGTGTTGTTAACCTCCAGGAAGTGAGATTTCTGCTTTTATTTTTCCTTTTACTTGTATTTTCTAAATATTCTACAATAAACATCTATCATTTGTTACTTTTGTAAAAAGAAAAACCTAATGCAACCATAGAAGTTATTTCTAGAAACCTACTGATGATGCCCCATTGCCCATGGGGTGAAATGAAACACACCCAGCCCAGCCCTCGAGGCCTTCGTGTGTCCCTCACCAGATTCTGGGACAAGATACGGCCTCTGAGTTGCTAATTCTCTGACCCCAGAAAGACACATCACGAAATCCCTCCCAGGGGGCTGGGACAGAATCAAGCCTCACTCGCCGTGACTGACACACATCGGTTCTCAGTTACTCAATCCGATCGACTAAAATCAATTTTCATTTAGCTTTTGAACCCAACTGTTTAAAAAGAAGTTTTCCTCCTTGAATAACACTCCCCGAGGGCTGGGCGGTGGCCGTGCTGGACGGACAGGAAGGCCATGTGGAAGGTAGGCCGCTGGAGAGTCGAGAGAGGCCCCCGGGGACCCCTCGCCTCCCCCAGGGTCTCAATGAGGCAGCAACTTAAGGTCTCCTGGCACCAACCAGGATGGCCAGAATCAGCCCTGAGCCCACTCAGGTGGGATCCAATGTCTCTGCAGTCAGTGACGAGGCTGACCACAGCACGTGGTTACAAGGGCCATTTGGAGACAGGCAGTGGCGCTGAGAAAGAGGAAAAAACGTGCTAAATGGTTGTGCTGCTGGCTTCCTTCAGGATTCTCTCAGCTCCTAATTTTTTTTGTATGTGTGTGAGGAAGATCAGCCCTGAGCTAACATCCATGCTAATCCTCCTCTTTTTGCTGAGGAAGACTGGCTCTGAGCTAACATCTATGCCAATCCTCCTCCTTTTTCTCCCCCAAAGCCCCAGTAGATAGCTGCATGTCATAGTTGCACATCCTTCTAGTTGCTGTATGTGGGACGCGGCCTCAGCGTGGCTGGAGAAGCGGTGCGTCGGTGCGCGCCCGGGATCCGAACCCGGGCCGCCAGTAGCAGAGCGCACGCCCTTAACAGGGGCCGGCCCTCAGCTCCTAATTTTTAATAGTAGTTTCACTCTTTGGAAACCCACACTGACTACACCCTGTTTTGTGAAGTCAGGGAACTAACGAGACAATCTCAGATAAGCAGAGTTTAGCCTCTGTAGCTGCAAGAGTCAACATTAGAGTCGTTTTCTAATCCCACCTGCAGGAACTTGCTCAGCAAGAAGTGGTCAGTGGGGAGGCTTACGACTGGGTGTTTCAGGAGAAGCAGCTGCACAGAGACCGTCAAATGCTGACAAGAGCAGAAACAAAATCCAGTTACTTCCTAACTAAACGACCCTTTGTGATAAAATGCACGCGTTCTATACGGGGCGGGGAAGAGGGCTCAGCAAGGTCAAGGCCAGCGTGTCTCCTGACATCCCGGCTTCTGGGCCTTGCCAACAGCTCCTCAGAGTGAGGCCATGTTTATTATTATCTCAGCTTTGACTGGTACTAGTTTTTAAAGTTCGGTGACAGGATACTTAATTTTTAGCTTTCCTGATAATTACCACTATCCTGCAAGTCTTCCAGTACAGGAGCTGATGGAAGTAAATATGCATGTGTGCATGCACACACACACCATGCTTGCACACACTCAGCCACGCTCACACCCACCCACATTTTCTCTTACACACTCACACCCACACACACTCACGGCCCGTTGATGCCCACAGATGTCATCTCTTGCACACTCCTCCACACCACACAGAGGTAGGTGTGGACTCCAACTGGCGACCAGACCAGGATCTCAACTTGCTCCACTTGGCATTCCCCAGCCGCCCACAGGAAGGAAAAGTGGACCCAGGCCTTTGGGAATTGGGAGGCGCGTGGACTCGAATGTGAGGCCCCGCTCTGCCCAGAGCTTGCTCCCCAGTAGACTGTAATGCATGGAAGGTAGTGGACCCAGGGACAACAGGTCCCTCCCTCCGAACCCTGAGTACAAGGGTCATGTAGGGGGACTCACTGGGGCTCTCACCGAGTGGACCTGGTATGGAGGGAGTCTGACTCCAGGAAACCCCACCTGGGAAAGTGACGAGCTCTTGACGCCTCAGCGCCTCTCTTACTGAAGGGCTCGTTCTCTCACACTCCCCAGATAAAGCAGGCCAGGGCCTCACGCTATCTTAGAAATAGCATAAAACAAGGAGAGAAGAGACCTGGGTTTAAATTTCAGGCCACACTGGTTGTGTGATTGTGGGCAAGTTACTGCGCTACTCCAAGCCTCAGTTTCTTTGGCTGGAAAATAGGAATAAAATGGCCTATTCCAGGTTATGGTGAGGCGACGCCTAGTCTGTAACAGGAGCTCCCCAACACAACAGCAGTTTCACAGGCCGGAGGCTTCTTCCTGGAGACCCAAGACCCGTCTCCCAAACCTCCAGACCTCGGCTGCACAGCGAAGGTGCCTGGGGCATCCTTGGTGAAGAAGGAATGGGCTCCTTGGTTTAAACCCTGTTGTTTAGTTGGATACAATCAACTGGCACCATGTGGCTGCCTAGAGGGCCCTCAGGGGCTCATGCAAGCTGGCTGCACCCACGAGCTCCTCCAATTCCTCCCCCACTCTCTGCCCTGTGAGCCACGAGGCTAAAAAGCGAGGGCTTCGTAGCCATGACCGTGACAGTCCCCATGCATAGTTGGAAGCAAGCCTTTCTCAGGATCATAATTGAAAGCCTGCAGATAAGGCAGATGGGAGCGGGTAAAAGTCCCTGTGAAGTCCCTTACACTGCCCACCAGGACCATGTGGGGGGCTTTATGGACATCATGCTGTGACACCACACACCTTGCCAATAGGGCTGTTCTAAGAAAAGTTTTACCTTCAATTGCCACAATCACACACAAGGGGGAGAGGCATGCATCCCAGAGGCACCAAAATGAGACAGCACATCACAAGCTCTCAGACATCTGCTCATTGAGAAGACGAGGGAGAGAGACCACCTGGGTCACCCAAATTGTTGCTTCTCTTTCTCGCTCTTCGTTTCACTGACACACAAGCACAGCTGACCCACGGAGTCAGATGTGCAGAGCGGCTGTGCACCAGGCGTCCCTCCCTGCGCAGGGGACAGTCTATCATCACTCCCATTGTTCAGACGAAGAACCTGCAGGGCTCCGTCCACCCAGGGTCACAGCAAAAGCGCAATGGACCCAGGACTCCAGCTCCTCTGTGCCTGCTCAGGCAGACCTCCCCCCGGGGGAGGGAGAACGAGGGGGGTGCGGCAGCGGCCCCTCTGCACGCCCACCAGGAGCACCGCTGAGAGCAGAGGCCAGGCCACCAGTTTCTCAGCAACACACACCCTTAGCTATCCTTGAGGGGACACTTCTGGGTGACAAAAGCTTCAAGAAGGTGAACGGCCAGCTGAGCTCCTACAAGGGAGCCTCCGGCACAAACCGTTCCCCAAAGGGGGTGAACAAGCCCCTCTCTCCCTGCCACAGCTAGGAAATCCTCAGGGGCTGGATTTCCTCAAATGTTTTGGTTAATAAACCAGAGAGGCGGTTTTGTGTCCATAAAAAGGAAGGTCAGAAATCCTTGCCTCTGGTCTGTCTGGCCACCAGCCCAACCACCAGAGGTCTGCTCAGCCCACCATACGTCGTGCTGCCTGCAGTCTGCTTTCGAGCTCTGAGCTCCGTCCACCAAGGAAGGCTCCTTTCTGCTGAGCCAACAGGCTCCAAAGCCATTCACGGGCCCTCTCTCAAAATGTCCCTCTGTCTCACTAACCACAGGCACATACAGAGACTTGGCTGGAGTGGGACAGACCCTGATAAAGGAAGCAGAGGAGAGTGAGGGCAGTGGAGAGGAATCCTCCCCACAGCCCGCAGGCACACGTAGCTCGACGCTGCTGCACCACGCTCCCACATCATAAAAGAGCAAGAATCCTTTTTTAAATGCACTGCTCTTCTTTCAAGGGAGGACATCCCCAAAGATGCACCTTGTAGATTTCTACCAGCTCAGGTGAAATACGAGGGTTTCAGCACCGCCATGATCATGACCACAGCTTCGGCTAGAGGCAGCCCCGCATCCACCATAGCCCTCAGCCAGGGCTGTGGAACTGCTGCTCTGGGCTCGGGCACCACTGGCGGGACCTACTTGATCTTCTTCTCCGTGAGCTGCTCCAGGGCAGAGTGGCAGTCGTCTGTCTCTTTCACAAACTCCAGGTTCCTCTTCTCTGCTCTCTCCAGATCCTGCCTCACCTTATCTCGCTCCCTCGCCATCTGCTCCACTTGCCCCCTGCGGCAGGAAGGAGACAAGGTCAAATGAGGACACCTGTTCTGGGCCCCGTGAGCCCCATGTCTGCGTGAAGGATAAAAACAGCCAGCACTGACTGGGTGCTGAGCATGGGCCAGCGCTGGGCTTTGACCTCACTGTCACCACCAACCACCTCCTAAGGCGGTTTCTGCAATTACTATGCCCATTTTACAGATGCACATACTGAGGCTAAATGACTTGCAGAGGAAAGTTTCTAAGAGGTTTCTGAATCCAGGAAGTCTGAGCCTAGAGACTTGCAGTGTGCCACACCTTCAGATGGCCCCAGAACAGGTGAGAATTTATCAGTGCAGCCTCTTGTCTCCAGCTGGGCCTGAGCTCCAGGGATCCCCAGCACCTAAGCCAGGACTGGACGTGTGAAGGGGAGAAGGTTGGCCACCCATTATTCTGTCATAGCCTGCCACCTGCAGCCTGGAACCCAAGTGAGTGCAAGGTCACCCACTTGCCCTGGGAGTCACCCAGAGCAGAAGGCAATTTGTGTGTGCAGGGCCCCCGGTGTCTGGTCGCCACAGGGCCAGCCCGAGGCTCTGTACAAATCACCTCCGGACCCACTATTCTGGTGACTGTTTCTCCACTAAACGAGCACCAAGCTTTTCTCCCTCCCCCTCCCAAGGCACAGCCTCTCTCTGGTCTCATTCACAGAGTGGCCTGAGGTCAGAAGGCTCATCTGTCAGTACCTAATGTATAGAACGTCAAGTCCTGAGGATGGAGAGATTTCTGCCAAGCTTTTCCGCAGCTTTGGAACATTAATAAAAACAAAAAAAAAGTCCTTATGTCAATCTGCTGAGCAGACAGGCAGCCTGAATAGTCAGCTAAACCAAAGCTGAACCTGACTAAAATGGGATTGTGTTCTCGGCCCACCTGTCACAGCGTGCATTGGACCACGTTTGAAGAATACTTCTTTCTCCCCTTTCGCCAGCCAGACAAGCCTAGGAGCTCTCTGGCTGCTCCTGGAAGCACACCTTGGCCAACTAGAGAGTTTCTGCCTTGGTAGCACGGAGCTCGAGCAGCAGCAGGATGAGTTTCAAAGCCAAACCCTTCTCTTTGGAACCTTGTAAAAGGGGCTACATGAGGACCTTGACATAGATTTCTAAGCTCCTCCCTCCTCAAGTGTGGGGGAAGGCCAGTGACCCTTTTATATTCTGGGGCCATAGAAACCCAAGCAGCAGCCACTGAACTTCCACCGGGTCCTCAGGCTCCGCTCCGACCACACACGTGGACGGCCCTCGTGGCACAGGGAGCCCTCACCATGCTCTCACCACTCAGCTCTCATTCCTTGTCCCGCCACGAGCGCTGGCTGAAGGAAGGCCAGCGGGAAAGGTGATGCTGAGCCCCTTGTCCTGGGCGCTGGCCATTTGGGGGGGATAGGCCAGGGTGCCCGGTTTTCTCAGACTCCCCTTCAAGCCAGCCTGGCCAGCAGAAACCTCTGCCCACCCCTACCCCTCGAACCCCTGCCACATTGGGCTCTTACTGGCGGAAGCTCAGCTCCTGGCGGTAACAGGCCAAAGCCGCCTGCTGAGTGGCACCACTGACCATCATGAGCTCATTCTCAAGGGCCCAGGTCAGCTCTGAAAGGTTCACCTTCTCATCCACACGGAAGTCGAGGCTCTGAAACAGCAAGGCCCAGTAGGCATGACAGGATGAGTGGCTTCTCCAAACACTTCCTAGCTCTCCTGCGGACGGTCCAGGCCCAGACCCACCCTGTCTTGTAGGCACCTGTCACTTTTCTATCTGCAAAGTCTCTGCCTCTCGGGTGTGCCCCCCTGACACACACCCAGCACCCCTTTCCCTGTCAACACTGGGGTCCCTCCCATCCCTGTCAACATCAAGGTCCCATGTCCCTACTAACACCCAGGAGCCCCCCAATCCCTGCCTCAGGGGTGGGTGTGACCCAGGCTGGACAGAGTCCCACTCCCTGGACAAAGTGAAAGACAAGGAAGTAGGCTTGCCTCAAGCAGAGGACGTGATGGGGACCGATGGGAGGCCGGAGGAGAGAAGCCTTTTTCACCGTAAAATCAGTCGTTATACAGACCATGTGGGCCTTTGGGAGCTGCATGAGGACACCTGACCAAGGCCAATGCCACCAGGAAGGAAGCAAGCAAGGGAGAGATGAAAGAGAGTCCTGATAGAACCCCAGAGTGCCAAGACCCTTGGTGCCCAACATCCCTCTCCCCGACAGCCTACTTATGTGAGCCCCTAACAACCTCTCTTTGCTTAAAACCATTCTGAGTTGGTTTTTTGCCATTTCAAACTAAAAGAATCCTGACTAATATGTCTCTATGAAATATATGGATGGACAGGTGGTGGTGTTGGTGGAAAACGTTCTATCAGAGAGAGATGAGTCACAGCCAAGCATTCCAGAGAGTGGAGCATTCTTTTCCCCTCAAGATTTTGAAAACAAAAGAATAGAACAATTTATGTTATACATATTGTACCACAATAAAAAAAGAATACAACAAACAACATCCATGTGTCCCTCTGCTAACTGATCAATAACTAATACTTTGCCACATCTGCTTTTTTAGCGTTGAGTATTCTTGACCCCTGTTTTCCTTCTATGATGTCTAAAAACTATAAACAGTTACACGCAAGTCCAGGGGCAGGCACCACCTCAGGGCTTGCAGAGAAAGAGGCACGGCAGCCCAGCTCCACATGGGAATGAGGTATGCTCCCTTTTTGTAACTGATGAAATAGAGACTGGAATTTCCACTGCTTCCTTACTTCCCAAAATGCTTCTGAAGAGAAACGACATTAAAGGTGAAGCACATGGAGCGATTCGGGAAGTGCAAGCTGTTATGACACAACTGTAAACTTCCCAGCAACGGTATCACCGGGGTAGGGGTGAGGGGTGCGCAAAGAAATGACAGAAACAGGTCACAGTGGCAGCTTCCTGAGCAAGAAGAAAGAAGTCATCCAAAACCACAGGTGTGGGTGGGAGCCAGCCTCCAAGCTGGCCCCAGGGCTTCTCGCCTCCTGGCATTCACAGCTCTGTACTCTCTCCCACACTGAATAGGGTTGACCCGGATAACCCACAGGATCCTGAGGAAGTAACAGCGTGTGACCTCCCAGGCTAGGGCATGGAAGCCCTGTGGACCCTCCTTGCTCTCTCTTGGATCTTGCTCTGCAGAAGCCAGCTGCCATGCTGTGAGGATGCTCAAGCAGCCCTGGGAGAGGCCCATGCGGCCAGGAATGGAGGTCTCCTGCCTACAGCAAACATCAACTTGCCATCCCGGAAGCGGATGCTCGGCCCCAGTTAGGCCTTTGGAAGACTGCAGCATGTGCTGATGCCTCACAGGAGACCCTGGCTAGAACCACCCAGTCGCATAGCTCTCAAGTTCCTGACCCACAGAAACTACATGAGACAAGAAACGTCGAATGCTGTAAGGCACAATTTAGTGGTAATTTGTTGAGGAGGGACAGATAATGGATCCAGGGCCTTCTCACAGAGCAGCACCAGAATGAGCAGTGCTCCCACTCACGTGGGCTCAGTAAGAAGCAGCCTGAAGTGGCCAGGGGTCTTGAGAAGCTGGATGCATGATGCCAGCACATCCATGCTGAGGGCTTGCCCAGCTGGGCATTTCCTTCCCAAGCGAAAGGCCTTTTTCAGGCCAGCAGCTTGCGGTCTTGACTGCCAGGGCCACAGGTAAGCAGTTATAGATAGCAACACAGGCAGGAAGGACCCTGCTTTGTGCGCCAGGACACCCCAACCGCCTCCCAGCTCACTGGTGCACCCGCCCTGGCTGTGTCTTCGGGCAGCCACCCACCTGTCAGGTGAGACTGAAACATCTGCAGGGCTGTGTGAGCATTAAATAAAGTCACATGTGACAAGTCCTTGCTTGGTGCCGAGGTGCTGAGAGGAGTCCAGCAAACATCGCTGCCTTTCAATACAATGGAATCAAATCCTGATGCAACTGGTCAATTACAAACTGGTAAAGAAATGGAAATATTCTCTGATAGCAGGGTAAGCTATCAGAGTAAGCTCTGAAATGTCAGAGGCAAGGTTGAGAGTCACCACTCGTCACACTGTGATGGCAGCCAGCACGCCTCCAAGTGCCAGGGCACCAGGAGCAGGGCTTCAGGGGGAACTTCAACACTGTGAGCCCCTTCAGCTCTTTGCTCTCCATCTGGGGGCAATTTTTGGCAATCCTGGCTCAGCCTCTGGATCTCAGAACAGCCCCAAGGGCCAGATGTCCACATCTGGCCTTGCCGTCCAGGCTCTACCTAGGCCCAGACTTGGGGTCTAGCCAAGGTGAGCCAGGCAGACTGTTGCAAAGGCTGTGTTTGGTCTCCTTTGTGTACGGTTGGTTTGTGCTAATAAGGACATTTTTGGAGGCAACACGACAGAACTCATTGCGAGTTAAAATGTGTACCTTCAGGAATCTACTCTATAGAGAAGTACCAGCACAAAAGCAGGAGGATATACATGCATTACAGATGCCGAGATTTATAAGAGAGAAAACCTGGAAAACACCTACATGTCCAACAGCAGGAAAAAGGTAACATAAATTAGCAAGATATACAGTATGACAGGATATTTGTAAAAAAAACTTTTTTTATTTGGAATGTCTAAATATATATTTCTTTTCTGCACCAGAGAAGAGCTGTGCAGGATGCTCACCAGGCCATTAGCTATAACACCCCTGGAGACTAGGAGCAAAGGGATAAAAGGCTTTTTTTTGTATTTTATAGATTTCTGTATAATTGGCTTTTTTTTTTAACAATGGGAAATGAAAATAATCAGTCTAGCTCACCAGACTTCCAGCAGCATTCTTCCCTCACTCAGGCTGGGCCCCTGGGCACACCTGACTTTGCTACCCCACCCAGAGCAGAGCTCCCTCAAAACCCCAAGGGGCTGACCCTGTGTCCTGGGGGACCAGTCAGGCTGCTCCCGGAAGAGGCCGGGCCCTGAGGACCGCCACCTGGAGGCTCCCAGGGGCGGCATGGGGCAGCGGGCAGGGGCTGTGCAGGGAGGAGAGCTCAAGCGCTGGCAGGCGGTTCTGGGCAGGACTCTGCTTCACTACGGAGCCCGTCCTCAACAGAGTGGAAATGCTCACACCTCGGTGACAGTGACATCCAGTAAGATGTCTCCACCACAGGCAAGGGGATGTCCTTCCCTCGTCTGGGGGCCTGACCTCCCTCATCCAGCTAAACAGATCATCTCCAGAGGATAACGTGCACTGGGGGGAAAGTCTAAGGTACCAAAACCTACCTTCATGTGCATTTGTTTCAGACTATCGTTTTCTCTGCTTTTTATTATCTTAAGTTAAAATTTCCTATACTTTAATAGCAAAAAAAATAAAGAAAAAAGTGATTCCAACTGGCCCTCCCTATATGAGGCTCTCTGCCCAGAGAGCATGACCTGTGTCTGTGGGGTATTCTGTCCAGCCTCTTCTGTGGGCACATGGCCCCTGAGTCCCCTGCCTGGCCCCAGACCGCCAGGACATCTCCTGCTGGGGCAGCCGTGAGCAACCAGTTCCAAACCTGCAAGACCTCCCTGCCGTTCGGAATCCCCTCCTGGGCCCACAGGGTGATGAGCTGCTCAGGAAAGGCGAAGCCGCTGCCATCATCGACGCTGCAGAAAAGGTGCAGGCCTGAGCACACGGACACGAGGGACGACGTGGTGGTGGTCTGGCAGCCACCCTCCTCGGGGCCCTGCATGTGGGCAACAGGAAGACGTCCATGAGCACACGGGCCCCCTGAAGCCACATCTGCTTATCTGTAATGTTCTCTGACCTCGCCAGCCTGTACTGGGCTCTTCGCTGTCTCAGCGGCCCTTTGCTGTCTCATGGAGGCCTGATAGGAACAACCAACGTGGTTACTGCTAGCTCCGTTTCCTAGACCAGGAACCAAAGGCTGGCGTTGCTGCATGATTTGTCCAAGATTGCACAGCTTTGTAGGTGGCCGACCGGGGATTTGAACTCAGGGCTCCTGACACCCAGTCCAGTGCCCTCCCCTACCACCCACCTGAGGCCTCATGCATGGAATGCGTCCCAGTGCCTACGTGGCCTGACTGGTCAGCATGTGCTCCTTAGTGGGAGACACAAAGAACCTGGGTTTTAACATCTCGACCCCGAATTAGTAACAGTGTGAGCCTGGCCTCACAAAGGAAGAGCCCGAGAAGGTGTGTGCCAGTGGTAGGAAATCCAATCTGTAGAAAGAAACCCAAGACAGGCTTAAAAAGAAGAGGTGGGATGGCCCAAGCAAAGTTGCACATCTCCTCAGGACGCAGAAACACGTAGCTCATGGCTGACAGTCTGGCAGTTTTAAGATGAAGGTAAAAAAATCTCTTGGTGACAGTTGACCTGTTAGGTTTAGGTGCTGTAAGAATCCACACAGCAAGATTATTTTCCTTACTATGTTTTCTGCCCCAGGCAGGGCCCTTCAGAACAAGCATATGCTGTCTGGAGCCACAGGACTGAGGAGCAGAAGCCCTTTCTCAGGCCACCAGCGCTCCTGTCACACCTGCAGGGACACCCTCCTCAAGGGCACCAGTGTCTCCCTGCTCTTCCTGAAAATTCCAAGCCTGTGCTGTTGCCTCAAACACCTTCCCCCAAAGCTTCCATGGCTGGTCCCTTGCTCAGGGGCTCTGCTCAGACGGCACCCCTGGACCAGCTCACTCACTTCCTCAAATGGGTGCTCACCAGCCCACATGCCATCTGCCTCTCCTGTGGATGCAAGGTCCACAAGGCAGTGGCCGCATGCCCCTGTCCATTCTCAGCTGGGTCCCTACCTCTCCATACTCAGTTACTGAAAGACTGGGTACTCACTAAGCTCTGCGGGGAGCTTTACAGCCCTACAAAGCAGGTGTTTTATTCTGTTTACAGAGGGAATAGGGCAGCTCAAGAAGGCTCGGTAACGTGGCCGTGGTCACTGTGGAGAAGCTGCAACATCCAAATGCACCCGGACCACCACCATCTCCTTCCCACCGCTTCCTCTCTGAGGACTGGGAGCTTGAGAACAGGTGCTGCCACACCAGGTTCCCCACCGCCAGGCCACCTGCTTCCCCTAACATAGCAAGAGAAGGGCAGCGCTGGGGCAAACCTCCCTCTGGGGCACACATCCGAGGGCCCACCACCACCATGCCACGCCACAGAGTCCAAACGCACAGGATGTGACACCCTCCACCCCGCAGCCATGTCAGCTTGGGTCACTTTCTGGGCAGGCAGTTGTTGTTCTTTTTTTTTTTTTTTTTTTGTGAGGGGATCAGCCCTGAGTTAACATCTGCCAATCCTCCTCTTTTTTTGCTGAGGAAGACTGGCCCTGGGCTAACATCCGTGCCCATCTTCCTCCACTTTATATGGGACACCGCCACAGCACGGCTTGCCAAGTGGTGCATTGGTGCGCGCCCGGGATCCGAACCGGCGAACCCTGGGCCGCCGCAGCAGAGCGCGCGCACTTAACCACTTACGCCACCGGGCCGGCCCCAGGCAGTTGTTGTTCTGAGGGCCACCTGCCTCTGCCTGGCCTCCTTCCTGCACCCCGTGGCTTTAGGCCCCTCTCCAGCTGTGCCTCCATATCAGGACACAGGAAAAGAGGTGGCTCCCCCTCAGAGAAGGCATCCTCCCTCCACAGGCTCTGAGCATGATGCAGTGGGACCTCACTGTGGTCTCTGACCTTATGCAGCCTGACACCTTCCCTCAACGCTCCTAGTTTCTTCTTCGTCTGTTCTCATTGATTTCAAATTCAGAAATCTGACACTTAGATGTATCCAGGCCGGCAGAGAACAATGTTACTGTTCCTGCACCACTGCCCACAAACTACGGGATCAGCTCCGTCAGCAAAGAAGCATCAGCAAGAGCAACCAGGCCTGTGATGGGAGGGGGCTTTACTATCCTGGCAGTGAGAGAAATCAGATGCCAGGCCAACAGTCACTGAACAAAATCACAATCTAAACAACTGCCTGATGTCTGCTCTCCTCCAACCGCAGAGACCTGGTATTTGTACGAGAGATAAAATTCAGGAATATGGGACAGGGAGAGCCGGGTTAAGGAGCACCCGGAGGGCTAATTCTAGGGAAGGAATGGACTCATTCAGTAAACACTGCTCTCCCTGCACCACGATGGGGAGGAGACATATCGAGGACCCACCATGGAACGCTCATAAAACCCCTATGAGGTGTGCCCACTTCTTACAGATGAGGAGCCTGAGGCTCAGAGAAGGCGAGTAACTCACCCAGTGACACACAGCTAAGGAGGAGCAATGCCAGATCAGTTCCAAGGTATGTGTAGTTCTAGAGTCTAAGTCACATGGCCTCCCACTTACACATGTGCATGTACACGCCTGGACCAACTTCTGGGCAGCTCATTGTGGTGACACAGGCAGAGGGGTCAGGTCTGCGAAAGATGCTGGAGGCCAAAGAGTGACAGCAGTTACTGCTGTGGCTCAAGATTTAATTGTCCCATTTTACCTGGTAATGAGACCAGGACCTGCTCGGTTTGACAGGAGTGGAAGGTTCCAGAAGTGAAGTGGGCCCATAATTGAACAGGCCAAGCTGGAATTCCTCAAGACTCACTCTGCCGTCTCCGTCTTGATCCAGTTTGTTAAATAGGTCTTCGAGTTCCTAAACAAAAGACACCACACCTCTGCTCAGAGGCTCCACCCACAAGCAGCTGCATGCGGGCACTGTCACCCAGGCCCGCCTACCCACCCCCGCTGCTCCCCACCCCTTCCCCAAGTAGGGCAGTTTGCTGGCCCTTATCCAAACTCAAACTGTCTGGGTCACACCTGGCCTCTCCAGTGCTAGCTTGTGAAATCTACACGCTTGGTCAGTTTCTATCCTGCTGTGAATGGGCACCACCTGAACTTCCTAAATCCCACAAACACCCATTCAGTGTCCACTGTGCCAGGAACTTGCTGGACTATGGGAAGAAGATGTACACACAAAGCATGGCCTGGGCCGCCAGTGGTTCAGGGTCTAGCAAGAGTGGCACGGCTGAGAAAGACTTTAGCAAGGTTGGGCCTGCCCCAGCACCACTACCTGCCCCTCTGCCTAAGAAAGAGGAAAGGGGGGTGAATACAGCTGTTGGGGAGTGTAGCCAGGCTCTAAGGGCATCATATTTGGGCTGGGCAGTAAAACTGGGCCGTAGAACTGGGCTGTGCAGGAAGGGGGAAAGGGCCTTCCAGGCAAAGGAAGGATCCTGAGTGAAGGTGCTTAGAAGTTGGCGAGGCTGGGGCCATGTGTGGTCAGAAATGAACCTGTGAGGGTGCAGACTTCAGCAGAAGCACTGGGAGTTGTCAAAGGATTTTAGACCAGAAAGGATACAATTGAATCAGTGTCTGAAGGGTGTAGGGATTTCCCAGACCCAACACCAACTATGATCATTACAAACAACAAGCTATTCAGGGTGGTCCATCCCGGCTCCTGTCTTACCGCCTTCTCAAGTCCCTGGAGCCCAATGGTCTGGCAGACCAGAGCCAGCTCCTGCTCGTTGAGGTGGCCGCTGCTGCCGACACCTAGCTCTTCCCAGATGCCCCGGACCTGGCTCTCGGGGGTGTCAAAGGAGGGGCTGCAGGACTTCTGAGGGTTCCTGAAGACCCTGGAACCCCAGGTTGGCAGCTGGCCTAAAGCAGGAGGAGTGATAGGTAAACGCAGTGCTCCAGGTGGAAGCGCCTGGGGGAAACACACCAATGCCAGTAATTTACTCTGAAATCAGATGGACTGATGGACAGATAGAGGGACGGACAGAGGGACACACATGATTATCAAAGCATCAAAGCCGGAATCTAGGTAATGGGTACATGGGTGTTCACAGCACAGTTCTTTCAACTTCATTCTATGAAACTTCTGCAAATTTTCATAATAAGATGTCAGGGAGAAATCTCTGCTCCACATGGGGAAAGCATTTTCTGAAGAAAACCTACTAAAGTCACACCATTCAAAGCACATAAAGAGGGCTGCATTATCTGTCTTTACAATAAAAAGATCAGTTTTTTTTTAAACTAATTTTTATAAGCTTTTCAAACCTACCCAAAGCAAAGAGCACCATCCAGGGAGCCCCCACGCACCTGTCACTCAGGCTGGGCGACGATCAGGACTTTGTCACCCTGGTCTCATCTATCCCCTTTTTGTGATTGCTGAAGCATTTGAAAGCAAATCCCAGATCTCAAGTTTCCACCCCTACATATTTGGTATGTCTTTCTAAAAAATACGGACATTTTCTTACAAAATCACAATATTACTATCACACCTAACAAATCAACAGTAATCTCCCAACTGTCTCAGAAAGTCTTCTTACAGTTGATTCGTTTGAATCAGCATCAAAACAGAACTGTCCCCTGACCCAGTGTACTTGGTTGTCATTTCTTCTAAGTCTTTCGATCACAAGCCCCTCTCCTGCCCCGCCCAGCACCGCCTTGTCTAAGACACTGATCAGCTGTTCTGCAGAATGTGCCCTGTCCAGGATTTGTTTGTCTGCCTCCTTGTGGTGTCACGTCACTTGTTCCTCTATCCCTAATATTTCCTGTAAATCTGAAGTTAGCATCAAAGGCTAGTTTGGATTCAGGCTCAGTTTTTTCTTTTTAGTTTTTTTTTGGCAAAAACTCTCCACAAGTGGGGCTGTATACTCCATACCGCCTTACATCAAGAGGCACAGGTAACTCTGAGATACAAAGACTCATCAGTGGGTTTGGGTGACAGATGGCCGATTTTCATAACTTTTCCACTTTAGCCAGTTGGCTTATTGATGTTTCTGAAGCTTTGCCAGAGAAACAACTGGAAGAGGACAGATGTTGGGGCTGACAGTGAGAAACAATGCACAGATGAGCTATGCTTCAAACTAGACATCCCCTCCACATCCAGTCCACACCACCCACCCAGCACAGAGAGGGTCGCTTCCACCTAATTCAGACCTGAAATGACTTGGGTTCTATGTCAGTGGTCTGGATCTTTCTGGTAGATGAACCGCCTTGGCATTAATTACTTTGATAACCCAACTAATAATCAGAAAACCACTTTTCCCACTAAGCCCAGGGAAAGCCAGGCCTGCGTGCTCATGAATGACGCCGAAGGGTGGGTTGAGGAAAATGCCAGGAAAGGGCCACCTCCGAGATCCCTTCCAGCTTAGAATGGATATTTTAATTACATTAAAAGTAAAATTAAGTAAATTTCATTTGCTTAGAAATGAAATTCCTAAGTTAAAATGTAAAAGCAATTCTGACACTGGGGCTTATTTCTCAGGGATGGCAAAGAAGGTAAATAAATCCTTTGAGGTTTGACATGAGCATGCACTACTGTCAGTTATAACCTGGATAAAACGGTTCCTGTTCAATGCTGGGAAGAAGCCAACCTGTCCTCCAGGCAGAAAGCACCGACATCGCTCCGTGAATAACCTCCCCCCCGGGAGCCCTTCCTTTCGCCACCCGAGACTCGGAGTCCAAGGAAATTAAGACGTGATGGCTTGTTTGCTCTTCCTGAAACAAAGGGGTCTGTCTGCTTTGTCTGGCAGCACAGGTGGACACCCAGGTCAGCTCCCTTGACATCCACCGAGGTAAACTTTGAACAATGGCCCGAGTGCTCAGATCCAGCTGCTGAATTTTTACTTTAGCAGAAAGTCAAGGTCAACTCTGGCTTCTCCATCTCCAAGCCAAATTTCTGCACTTTCTGCCCTATGACAGCCTCGTGGAAGCATCTTTAAGGCACCCACAGACCCACGTGCCGATGCACTGCAATTTGCTTTTAAGTACACCTGCTGCTGCCTACTGGTTGCTACTGTAAGGCTCCTGGGGACCAGGACCACGTCTTACAGTCTATTTGGGGCACAGACAGGGTCCCTGGTGGGTGCCAAGGCTGCTTGCCCACAGCAGGGGAGAGGCTGTGCCCAGGACAGGTGCATCAGGGTGGGCCCTGGGAGCAACGGGTCTGAGACCCCAGGGCCTTGCCTGCCAGCCGGGATCACACTGGTCCTTGCAGACTGTGAATCGTGGCAGAACCACACTGCTGCTTTAGCCAGCAGCCTCTCTCCGAGGGTCTGACCTCAGGGGATGCTGAGGACCAAGTGACAGCCTCACACCTGGGACCACCCTTTGGAGAAGGGGCCCACCAGGGACACCACCCACCCTGCACTCTTCCCAGGAAATTATATTTGGCTGGCTCACTGTATAACGACCCAGCTCCTGGAGCTTTCAAAGCACTGGTCAAAGGCAGACAGCACCAAACAGGAGGCCGTGGCTTTACCTTGTGCTTCAAACAACTCATTCTGAGGTTCTTTAGCACTTTCAGCTTCTTCATCTGACTTAAGGCTCTGCGGAAAAACCAAAAAGAGAAGAACATGAATCCCCCAGTGGACAGAGCACCAAGAACAAACAGAACGGTGTGTTAAGGGGGCCGGGTAGGGGTGACTGAGGAAGAGGACCAACAGCTTGGTGAGATGCAACTCCTCCGAATAAAGCCCACCCCTGTAGGAGGCCTTCACAGCCAGGGCGTGAGGTCCCAGCCCAGACCAGCTCCATCTCACAGACACGGGGCTCCTCAACATAAACTAAAAATCATCGTAGTTCACAATGAAAGCACAATCAAGCAGGCACACCCTAACAGGAGAGAAGAACACTCCCCAAACCAGCCGCTCTTCAAGAGGAGGGCCCTGGAGCCTGGTCAAGGCTCCAGCACCAGACAGGCTCTGAGGCGTGAACGTAGCCGCCTCCCTGCACCCCGTCCTCATCACCCACATCAGTTCAGCAAGCAGCTGGAGAGAGAGCAGGTCTCTCTGTCCCTCCAGGAGCTCTGGGGACAGCACGGTGTGTAGCAAGCACCTGACACCTCAGTGCCATTTGAAGCTAACCCCAAAGGGATTGGGCCACCAAGAAACACCTGACTCAAGTAACAACCTCATGTTTTCGTGACCAAGTCAGCTGACCACAAGGTCCAAGTCTGTGTCTGACAGTGCTGTGCGTCCTAGGACTGACTGTGGAAGGAATGCCAGGTTCACCAAGACTCGGCATTCCTCAGAGCCAGCACTGCACTGAGGTGGGAATCTGTGAGCTGGTGGGATGTCCCATTTTTCTAATGCATTCAACCCAACTGACAACCCTAAGGCAGCATTCCCCATGTTCTAGTTCTGGGGATCACAGATGGTTTCAAGAAGCAGAACGGCAGCACAGAGATGGAGCAGACTCACTGAGCCCTCCATCCCCAAGGGCCAAATTTAAAAAGAGAATAAAAAGCGAATGTCTGGGATGTGTTGGTGTTGCCCAGGTGGAGCACATCCCTCAGAGAAGAATCTCTAGGATTTAAATATGTATTTGCTCGTTTTTCCTGTTTGCCTCCACAAATGTTGAAAATATAAACAAATTAAATTGGGGGCCCAGAGCTGTCTTATTAAAGATAAGTCCCCAGAGAGCCCCATCTGACAAAGGGCACATCACAGACAGCAGGACCTAGGAACCTTTGGAAAGCTTTAAAAACAGGTCTAACGAGTCCACAAGTAACTCGCAGGCTATGTATCTGCCTCGTGGATACACTTCTTGACATGAAGGCTGCGAGGCCCAAGCAGCCTATCTCCTGGTCAGGGAACAGCTCAGGGAGACTGGGGGCCAGAATCTACTCTCAAGGCCCTAGGAGGCATCTGACACATACTCCCTGAGTCGTGAATGTGTGGGCCACCAAATACCCTAAGTGTAAGTGTTCAAAGCAGGAGGGCCTGTGGGCTTGGAACATCCAATTCCTAACCTCGTAGCTGCATCAGAGAGGCAGCTGCCCTTTCCCACCCTCGGCCAACGAACATTTCACTCTAGTGGCCGTTAGGACAGCCTCCTTGCAGCACCGGGGAAGAAGTGGAAGAAGAGCAGGAATGTGTGTAGAAATTCTCCACTGCCCAATGTCTAATGGAACACATTCTGCAGCCAGAATTACCAATGAGACCAGGAGACACTTGAAAACAAAATGTCATTCTCCAAAGTGCACCCACACTTCTGGCAACAAGATGCCCAGGAATGCCCATCCCCTCCTCACACCCATAGTCACGTCCCATGAGCACTGACTAAGCGCAAAGTTATTCCCCTGATACTGGGCAGCCTGGGGTGAGGAAGAGAGGATTCAACCCACCTCCACACTTTCCAGAGATGCAGAGCGTCGGAGCTGGCTTCTCATGGTGGCCCTGGCTTGTTCTGGTAAACATTTGGCTCTGGCCGCAGAGTCACACAGCTCAGGCAGGCTCCAACGGCCGTACCACTTAGAGCCACTCACATACTTTGGTGGCACAGCATGGGAGGCAGCTGGAAAGAAAATGGGAGGTTTGATGGGGGTGGCCTTTAAAGCAGCCTCTGGGCCCATGCATGCCATGGAGATGCCCTTTAAGAAGGTGCACGTTCTGATGCAGAGTGTCTCTTTGGCGACGTGCACTTGTATGCGCACAGAAAACATCTGCAGGAACAGAGGGAGTGGTTACCAGTGGTCACCCTACTCCCTGGGTGGCGAGCTGAGAAAGCCAGGCTGGGAGATGGGACTTTCCACTCCAAATTCTACGTGCTGTTTAAATTTTTTCAAGCATATTTTGCTTTTGTTCGTGCAATAAAAAACTAACACAAAATCTAGCTTTTTACGCAAAGAAAAAAACTCTCCAAGAATCCAAGAATATACTGCTCTAGAGACTGGAAGGTCACCTCCCACTGTGCTCACTCCAGGACCCCACCTCAATGGGATGGAGGGTCCAGGCAGGTGTGGACCTCAGACACAGCTAGAGAGACTCAGACTCCCACTGCTCTCAAGTCTGGAGCAGGGGCAGGCGCAGACCTCAGTTCTGGGATTCATGAGAATCCCCTAAGCCCTAACAATCTCTTGCACTTCCTTCTTCCCACCTTACCTGTCCATGTCTGCATAGAGCAGCTGAAAACCTCAGGCAGAGAAGAAATGATGCTGACTCTGTGTGGAATCCTAGGCAGGCAGGAGAGAGATAGGGGAAGGCAGCATGGGCAGCGGCCAGGATGGACACAGGGAGCAACCAGAACGGGCCAGTTGGAGAGAAAGGAACAGGGCCCAATGAGGCCAGGCCATGCACTACTAAGGAGCATTTCATTGCAGATGTGTCTTGGGCTTCACCCCATAAAATATCACACTCCCTAAGGCCAAGTACCACCTAATTTCTTTCCTCCATGCCCCAAACAGCTGGTCCACAGCCCCTGACCTTGGGACCACTAGAGGAGGCTGGATCCAGTCTGGCTGACCAGAAGAATGGTGATGCCAGTGACAGACAGAAACCGGGGATGAGGTAGGAGTTTCAGAGAGGAGGATGCTGAGTTCCACAAGGGACATGCAGAATGTGAAATGACAGCGTGACATTTAAGGCAGCTAACAATATGCAGGATGACTATATAATTTCCTACCCTACTGGGACACTCTGAAGTCATCATGGGCACCACTACCAATCACCTGAGACAACAGGCATCGACAGGCCTGGTCCAGCAAACTCTCACCATGTGACAGAGCTCATGGGACATATTGAACGGAAGGCAAAGTGTCCAAGTCAGCAGAGAGAAAACAGGAGAATCTGTGAGTTGAGAAGGGGTGAACTACAAACATGGAGAAAGGCTCCAACAGAGAGCTGCCGAAAGGGTGAACGATGAACCAATGAGTAAAGGCTCTTCAGAGAGGCTGCTGGCTGGTTACTGTGGGTGGGGAGATCCTCCTCTTTCCACTCTGAGCTGGTGTAGGAAGAGGAAATTCATGTCAGGTGGCAAGTGGGAAGCTGTAGCACACTTGGGAAACCAGGTAACAGGAAAGTCAGAGGTGAGCCCTGGCATGCCCCCCGAGCCATCAGACCCCGCAGAAGCAGAGCCCTGGCCCCCACGCCTCCACCGGTGGCCACTTCCTGGGGCTCAGCTGGCTCGTTGGCACACCTGGAGATCCTACAACCAGCACGTGTTCCTCCTTCCCAGGCTTGATTTTGCTTCCTTCCACTTCCCCTCCTCAGTTCACTCCCAGGCCATGTCTCAAGTCCCACCCCTGTCCTGATGCTGGCCCCACTTCTTCATCACTGCCAGCCAGTCAGCACTTTCCTTAGAGGACAGAGCTGCCCAGAAAAACATATGACTTTTTCATAATATTCTCCAATGTTCTCATAAGAAGAGTCCAGATATCACCTCCCTGCCTCCAACAGAGAGAAATGCTACTCTAGAAAAGAGTGTCCCTGAGGCAAGTCACAACAGAAACAAGAAAGGCAGAGGAATGACGGTGAAAACGAATGGGGCAGCTTTCCACTACCCACAGAATCACAGGAGTCATACCCCCCTGGAGAGGGAAGGACGGTAAGTCACCCAGGCCTAGCATGTTTTCAGTGTGGGCACAGGCCAGTCCCCTATCCCCACCCCAGAGGGTCGCAGGCACAAGATGACAGTGCCTGACAAGGCCCCTCGGTGGCCCTAGTGGACAGTACACCCGCCATCTCAAACTCTGGACACCTGGCTGTGTCTTCTTGGTGTGCATATTTATTTATAAGAAAAGAGTAACCAAGTCTAAAGATTCAAATACATTTGGTTATATATTCAACAATGGCCTTTCATGAAAGGAGCAGAAGGACCAGGAAGCAGATATTCTTCAAAGTCCAGGGCATTTGGTCCCACGACGACATGTCTATTCTTGCAGGATCAAAAGCATGTTTTACCGATCACAGTGGGAGATGGTGGCAAACAGATCAGAAAGCAGGGAGTGAGTGATGCCACAAATGGAGCGGGGGAGGCACACAAGGCTCAGAGCCCTGAAGCAGCAGGGACAGAAGGGGCCTGAGGAAGGAGGAACCAAGGCCCAGGCCTGGCGGACAGGGGACAGGCAGGCAGGCCGGTGGGACAGGGACGGTGAGGCAGCGGTGGGAAGCTGAAATGAACACAATCCTGGAGGCCCAGGCGGGGCTCGCTTTGACTCTTGAGGCACCCCATGGCTACAGGACCACCAATGCAAGCAGTGGGGGCCCAGCCTCTGCGGACGGGAGCTTGGACACTGACACTGGGATGAATCCTGTCCACTCGCAGGAGAGGAGATGTCTCAGGCTGAGCATGTGACCGGTTAATCGAGGAAAGCTTTGAAATCCGAAAGAAAAAACAAAACAAAACAAAACTGGAATCGGTGAGAAAAGCACAAATCCTAAAATAGCTTGTTGTCTCTTTGGAGGAACCGAGAACATGTTCCCCAGATAGTACAGTTCTAAGCTTAGAAGCGCCACATGTTCTCCAGCATGGGGAGGGGAACGCACAACGCAGTGACACCAGGCACTCTCCTTTCTTAAGACACATCTATATCCATGATCACACCATAACTTCCAAAATCCTGTGAGTTAGGAAAGACAAGTGGCCTTCTTCACATCCTAAAGAAGACAACTGTGAGACAGCAACCAAGGACTCCCCGAGCGTCACGCACACGGCTGCTGGGAGGCTGACTCTAACCCAGGTCTTCTCCTCCCACTTTGGGGCTCTTTACACTGTACCCAGGTGTCTCTGCAACCAGCAGGAGGAGGTGGAAGGGGGGCCGACCATCAGCACTTGGCGGAAGAAGCAGGTTCTGGCAACGGTCTGCAGACAAGAGCCCAGTGCTTAAAGCTGAAAAACCTGGGCTTGAATCATGGCCCCAACTTACTAGCTGTGGATCTTGGACAAATCCCTTCACACCTCAGGCCTCGGGTTCTTCACCTGAATAATGGGTATGATATTGCCACAGGACTTCGAGGGTTAAACGAGGTCTGTATAAAATGTACATAAAGCTCAGAGCCTGGCCTACGGAAGACACTGGATGTGAGTCCTCATCCCTTTCCACTTTGTTCCCCCACCCTGTGCCCCTCCCACACTATCCCTGTATCCCACCATCAGGCACCTGCACCTGACCAAGGCCCCGCAGTGGCAGGGGCCTGCTGCCGGGCACAAGGAACAAAGCTCCCTCCTCAGTCCGCTAATCCATACCACCACCACCATCCTCAAATGTGCGGCCCCGTGGAAGAGGGAAAAGGGAAAGGACCCACTCTCATTTCATTCACCCTCCTGACACTCATCAGAGGTGGTACCATCAGTCCAAAGCACATCAGGTGACTGCCATTCAGCCTGAGGCCCGATGGAGCAGGCACAACCAACAAGCGTGTTCGTCACCACCTTCCAACTCTCACCCCACAATCTACACGCCCCTAAGCAGACCTCCCTCCAAAACTCTCTCTCTACCTCCTGACCGTTACCAAAGCCAAGTGGCTTTCCCCCAAGGATGCCACTTTCACTTAGAAGTGCTATTTTGGTCCCACCAGCCCCATTTCGGTTACAGGACTCTCATAGGTCATATTAGCACAGTACAACCTTATTGTCTGAAACAAAAGATACACTGAGGTCTGTCTCCGGCTGACGGCGTCCCACCTGCTCTGCCAACCTGAGAGGTCTAGATGACACCTTATATCTGCACTATACTTTTAATTCTTGAAATCGCCAACTCCTTCACATCTGTTTTATCTTGTCAACACCCTATGCTATAAGGATAACACACCATATTATTTGACATTTATGATATTGTGATTTACAATAAATACATATTTGGTCTTCATCCCATCCCTGGCACAGAGCACCTAAAACCCTTGGAATTTCGTAAGTGATAAGAGCAACCACACCTGAGTTTATGTTAATGAGATGATTTTTGGAAAGCCCTTGAGGATGGGGGCTGGTTGCCAGGAGAACCAACGATGTGATTAGGGGGTTAGAACCTTCAGCCCCACCTCCTGACCTCCAGGGAGTGGCGAGGGGAAAGGGGATGGAGATTGAGTTCAATCACCCATGACCAGTGATTTTATGTCATGTCTATGTAATGAAGCCTCCACAAAAAACCAAAGGACAGGGTTCAGAGAGCTTCCAGGCTGGTGAACACGTGGAGATTCAGGGAGAGTGGTGCTCTGGAGAGAGCATGGAGCTCCCCACCCCTTTCCCATACCTTGCCCTGTGCATCTCTTCCATCTGGCTGTGTATCAATTTCTAATAAACCGGTGATCTAGTAACTACACTGTTTTCCTGAGTTCTGTGAGCCACTCAAGCAAACTAATCAAACCCGAGGAGGGGGTGGGTCTTGGGAACCTCTGATTTATAGCTGGTTGGTCAGAAGCTCAGGTGATAACCTGGATTTGTGATTGGCATCTGAAGTGGGGGCAGCCTCACAGGACTGAGACTTTTAACCTGCGGGATCTGATGCTATCTCCAGGTAGAGCATGTCAGAACTGACTTGAATTGTAGGACACCCAGCTGGTGCCAGTAAATTGCCTGGTGTGAGAAAAACTATCACACCTTTGTTGACCAGACGTGCCAGAAGTATTCAGAAAGTACTGTGCGCAGTGGGAAGGAAAACAATAGAGTTTTTCCCTTACAACACTGTTTTACAAACAAGGAAAGAAAAGAAAAAACCCAAATGTTTTGTCCCAGTCGACATAGCTTGGCAGTGATAGAGTGGGGTTAGAATTTAGTTCTCAGACCTGCTGGGTTCGTCAATCAGAATATCAATATTCCAGAAGGTAACAGATAAATAACGAAAAGCAACTAAAGGCAAGAAGAGGAAATTCTCTTACCTGATTCCAAGGAACTACTGCCTTCATCTGAGAGGCCAACACCAGCATCTGATGACAACACTGCCAGGAAACCTTCCTTAAATTCCTCAAAATTCACCTAGATGAATTTAAGAAAAGAGAGGTCAATGTTACTTTCAATAGATCACATACATAATATGTCAGCCTTTTTGTTTCTTTTTCTCAGATGGAAATATATCATTGTTTCCTTTTGCACTGAGAACATTCATTTCATTTCTTCAAATACATACTCAAGATTTTTTAAAACAGAAGAGTCTAATAAGGAGAGTAATGGTGAACCATAAACCTGTTACCAAAAAAACTCTTAACACAATTTTATAGAAGTAAATCAGACAACATAATTAGAAAACAAACAGGGGCTGACCCCACAGTGTAGTGGTTAAGTTCCATGTGTTCTGCTTTGGTGGCCCAGGGTCGTGGGTTCGGATCCCAGGCACGGACCTACACTACTCGGCAGCCATGCTGTGGCAGCATCCCACATACAAAATAGAAGAGGATTGGCATAGATGTTAGCTCAGGGCTAGTCTTCCTCAAGGAGAAAAAGATGAAGATTGGCAACAGATGTTCACTCAGGGCTAATCTTCCTCAACACCAACAACAAAAAATAAAAGTAATATTAAAAAAAAAAAACAAATAGTGCAGAAAAGAGAGCTCTGATGGCCATAAAACATTAATTTCATAAAGAAAGCATCATGCTATCACCATCGCATCAAGAAACAGTACTTCTAGCACCTCAGAAGGCCATGGTCCCTATCCTGATTAAATTCCCTGCCCCACTACTCTGATTTTTATGAGAATAATGCCCTTGCTTTTAAACCTTGTTTGTATGCATCTCTAAACACTATGGTTTAGTTTTGCCTCTTTTTGAATTTGATGTAAATAGAATCATATGTATATACTCTTTTATGTCTTGCTTCTTAGACTCAATACTACTTCTGTAATATTCCTCTAAGTAGCAATGCATAATTCATTCCTTTTCTCTGCTGTATAGTATTCCACGGTTAAGTAACTGTGTAAAAATTTATTAATCCAATCTCCTGCTGATGGATATTTCCATTGTTTCCAGTGTTTGATAATTAAAAAAAACTGCTTTGAACAGTGTTGCATATGTGTCCTTAGGAGTTTCTCTAGAGTATATACCTAAGAATGGGATTGCTGGGTCATAGAATATGCATTTAAATCCTCTGGGTGAAGTGAATCTTTTACGATTATAAATTGCTCACTCTCTTTATTCACTAATGCTTTTTTCTATAAAGACCATTTTCTTTTGTATCAAAAAACAACTCCAGCTTTCTTTTGATTAGTATTTACATGATATATCTTTTCCCAAACCTTTAATGTTAATTTTTTATATCTTTATATTTTAGATGTATCTCTTATGAATAGTATATAGTTGGATTTTTTTCTTTTTCTTTATTTTTTATTATTATTTTTTTATTTTTTTGTTTATTGCAGTAACATTGGTTTATAACATTGTATAAATTTCAGGTGTACATTATTATACTTCTA